CTCCCCTTAACTTCAACTAGCTGTCACTTTATTGTTATTGAAGCACTGGAGACATGAAAAAGAGAGACTTAATTGAGAACACTTAATAAATAAGTTATTTGCCTAAATGCAGCCTCTTGCAACAAAACGAGTAAAAAGGCAAGTAAAGAAAAAAGAATGTCAAACCATCTAGGTATGATTTCTTAAGACATAATAGAGCAAATACTTTGTACGGACCACTACAAGTCGACCTCATGGCCAGTCCACACAACAACAAACTACCCCTGTATGTGTCCGCCTTCGAGTTCCCGGGGGCAGTGGCAACGGATGTCCTAGCAGTCAACTGGAATCAGTGGCAGGGGGTGTACATCTTCCCCCCACCAAACTTCATACTGCAGTTGCTACCCAAACTGCAGGACTACAAACATCACAGGGTCATTCTATTGCCACACAGACCATCAGCCGGATGGTACACAGTCCTCCTCAAGAGAGCGCAGAAACAGCTTCTTCTCCAAACTGGCCTCCACCAGAAGACAGCCGTCAGCTTGGTCTCATCAGAAGAGTGCGGGAAATGGATCGCATTGAGTTTCTAACCTTACTGTACTCAGAAAAGTTCTCCACCTTCTCCGCCAAACGACTAGTCAGGGCCGTTCGTTCTTCGACCACGCGCCAATACCAATCTCAGTGGAAGCACTTCCAAGAGTGGCTACCTGAAGAAACAACCAACATCACCCACGATACAGTTCTACGGTTTTTCACCTTCCTCCACAAGGAGAAGCACCTGAAGGCTATGACGATACGTAACGCCAAGGCAGCGCTCAGAAAACCCCTGTACCTGGCCTTTGGAGTAAACACCACCGCTGAAGAATTCCAAGAGCTCTCGAAATCGCAGTTCCTCTCTGATCCTCCCGCTCCCAAACCAAACATCGACTGGTCCCTCGATGCTATCTTCAAACAGTTTGAATCTAGACGCTTCCGCCTTCCACACATAACAACAGAGGACCTTCTGATTAAATGTCTCTTCTTAACAGCTCTGGCATCCGGAAACCGAGCATCAGAGCTAGCACATTGGGTGGGAAACATGCGTTATGCCCTGCTTACCACTTGAGGGAATACCTCAAGCAAACGACCTCATGGGAACACAGGAACCACGTCTTCTTGTAGCCCAAGTCTCATAAGCCACTCAACGCCGGGAGATGCTCCTTTTGGCTGGCTCACGCCCTTCGTTCCTTCAGTGACTCTCCAGGAAATCTATCGGGCCACGACATCCGCCGGGCTAGCCACTCCATTGCCTGAATGCGCAACGTATCCATAGAGGAAATCATGCGCAGCGGCTTTTGGAGCACCCCCAACGTATTCATCCGTTGCTATCAGAGGGCGTTATCGGTTCCCAAAATACAGTTCATAGCAGGGAGAACGGTCATTAATTAGTGCCAACACTATTGTATCTAACATTTGCATTGCCCCACTAATTAAGTAAACCTTGGTTTAAATATCTCAATTGCTTCTTTTACCTCCCATGGGAGTCTGAAAGTTTCCTCCCCCAGACCCTAAAGGGCAACTTTGGTAAAAGCAAACAGCCTAAAACGGAGTTTGCTCTAATTATTTTCGTTCAATCTAATTAGAGCTCAGAGTTTTAGGCTGTGCTGAGGCCACCTCCTCCCCAAACTTTATTACGCAGGCAGTGCTGCAATTGAGAGAGCACGTAAGCTGCGCCTACACTGCTGCTGCAGCTCAAGGTCAACGGAAGGAAAGCTGGCAATGGTGGCAATCATTTCCGCAGAGCTTTCTTCCTTTTTCTTTACTGATATGATTAAATTCGAGGAAGAAACAATCCAAAAGATCAAATAGAGCTTTCAACATGTTAAAAGCAAACAGCCTAAAACTCCGAGCTCTAATTAGATTGTTTTTGTTCCTCAGACGAAAATTTTTATACAAACAAGGTTTTTATAAGAACCTGTGGATTTCTTTAAATTTTGTATACGGTAGCTCCTTAGTTAAAAACCACTAGCAGTACCATCTTGACAATATTTGAAAATACTTGTACAATAATAGAAGCCTCAAGGTTTGGTACAAATTTTAAAGCAATAAGTTGAATTCTTTGAAGGTTATGAGGAAAAAATAAAAAATTTGTTTTCTAGAAGCTTACATTATTTGAGTTTTATAAATGAGAGAAGAGCTAAGAACATCAAATTTATGCTGAACTGCTGACTCATTGTATGAAAAATTAACAATTATTATACTAAAATTTGTGGTAAATGAAATGATGAATGTTGATACTCTCCAGCATAACATTTTTTAAAATTAACATGAATGAGAGGGACTTTGAAGGTAGGTATTAGATAAGTAAAAAGGTAATATACCCATTTTGCCTGGGGTATTTACATAAAACCCCAATAAAACTGGTGGATTGAGCAATTTCATAAAACCCTGGGTTTTTTAATAGGGCCCAGGTGGGTGGCAATTTAATGAAACCCTGGGTTTTTTAATAAGACCCTAGTGGGTGGTAATTTAATAAAACCCTGGTGGGTTGAGCAATTTAAAAAACATGTGCTTTTGGCAACTGTGATGTCAGCATTATCATACATGGATATTGAATAAAATTTAGAAATAGGTAAAATAATTGAAATAAACTAGTTTCAAAATATCTCTAGTTTGCCACTTGGCTGCAAAGCAGGGAACAACTTTGTTGCAAATACTGAATTCCCATTGTGTTGTAGTAAGGCTTTTTAGGTCAAGATATTGGGAATTTCAAAGTTTCATGATAATTCTCAAGGTTTCCATGTTAAGGTTTCTGTTGATGACACTAATAATATCCAGATTGGAGCACAGCACATCATGATGCACAAGACTTTGGTAGGCCATCAATGCAGCTACCAGGATGTTCTCTCTCTACCCTTGATGCCATAGCCTGGGAACATGGGAGGACAATAAGTGGCCATTAGGTATGACTACTGGAGGCTGGCACTATTGTATAATGTATATAAAGAGGAAGGTGGCTATTTTTGCTACACTGGATGGTGTGCCTTTTCAGATGTAGGATCCCAGGAGCAATGAGGGCAGGGTAGATGGCTGGTTGAGGTAGGCCAATGAATAAGCAACCCAGTGACTTGTGGGACAGGAACAGTCAGCATGTTACTGGTGAGGAGAGGTTTAGCTTTAGCACCTCTAGTGTGTCTAGGCCTTGTATCAAGAGCACAAGAAGAAGAATATTCACATTTATGTGAATATTTGTAATGTGCAGACCATAGAGGAGTGGGGGCTTGGGTTGCAGTGAACCCCCTGAGTAATGAGCAGCAGGCAGAAGAAAAGAAAAAGTCCATGGTTCAAGATCTTGCAGGGATCAGGGGCTAGATAAAGAGGAGGAGCAAGAGTCAGATGAGGCCAAGGTTTCCTGGCCCCAGGGAAATGGAGCATGCCACTTAGGGGACAAGGTATCATCTGGGATTATTTCTGTTGTTTTGCCGACCTGTGATAGGCAAAGCAGCAGCGCAGCCACAGTACCTTCACAGCAAAGGCATTGCAGAGTTAGAGAGCTTGTTGCTCAATAACACATAACTTCATTTTCACTGGTCAATTTCCTCATTTCAGCATCTGTCATTGCCCAGAGTTAAAAAAATATATAGGTAATAATAATATAAATTACGTGGTTCTTCTGAATTTTTCATTCCTCAATGCACTAGCAATATAACTACCATCAAATGGGGTGAAAAGGGACGGTTTTGAGCTTTTCTTGTTAATAACTTCTTACCATGAAACATTTTCACTAACAAGTTTAAGCTTATTTTATAGCTTTTTTGCAAGGGCTATCAAATGGCATCTTCAAAAAAATTCTATATGCTATTTGTAAGGTGCTAGATGCATTATAAAAGGCTCCTGAATTTATCTGGAAACCAGGTAAAAATGTTCACTTGGAATAAAACTCCATTTTAAATGATTGAAACATGCAGAGTGTGCTCACCTATTACCAGCAGTACTCCAAAGTCCTCTTTTTCCTTTTAGATGTAACGTAATGACAAGGAGCTCAACAAGCTTCTTAAGGGAGTGACCATTGCATTGAGTGACCTGGATGTTAGGAGTTCTGCCTAACATTCAGGCTGTTCTGCTCCCCAAGAAGGTTTTATTTAAATTTAAATTTAGATTTCCACTTAAATTTAAAATTTAAGCAAAAATCTTAGTGATTAACCCATATTTATCTTAACTGTTGCCTTTGCTAACAGGAAATCTGCTGTAAATGTGTTTTAGGGGTTGTCCCTAATTACCCTGGGGGTTGTTCCTAATTACCCTGGGAGTTGTCCCTAATTACCCTGGGGGTTGTCCCTAATTACCCTGGGGGTTGTCCCTAATTACCCCAGGGGTTGTCCATAATTACCCTGGGGGTTGTTTCTAATTACCCCCGGGGGGGGGGGGGGTGTCCCTTTTTACCCTTTCACACGGAAATGGCTGCCATTTTTTTTAATCAGATAGGCAAATTACGTTTTCAAGCCAACACTTGTGTGCAACTTTTATGTAAGTAAAAATTTTTAATATGGCATATTTTTTTTGCCTCAGACCTTAGTAGAAGTACTTTTCCAAAATTGCACCTTTCACACTTTTTTTCAGAAATTTTTTAGAGATAGTAAATGTTTGATTTCTTCACTAACTTTACACCTAATAGATAGTAAAAATGTTGAAGTTAACAACACTGTTTTTAGTTTTGTGATATTCTGATTAGTTTAGCTGCTACAACATTTCAACAAAATGTGGGATGCGCATCCTGATTTACCCCGCCTGTCCCTTTTTACCCCGTTTGACGGTATTTGTTGCCAAGTTCATTCACTGTAGCAAATCTTAATGTTTGTTTGTGTAGGTATTACTTTTTCATTAAAATATTTTAAGGAGGAAAACCTGCAGAAATTTAGCTTAGGCCTATTCTATAAGCCTATCATGCTTATATACAAAGAAGATAAGTTGCATTTTCTAAATGATCAATTGTATTATATGTTTATCAATAAATCTTTCTTCCTGATCACTGCTTTGATAATTTCCAGATAATTAATTGTTATTAGTTGTAATATTTTGATAATTAGAAATGGGCCGCAAAAAGAACAAGCTACTGAGAAAATTGAAACAAGAATTGCAGGATCGTGCTTTTAATCCTGATCCTGAAGAAGAAGCAGGATTCCCAAGGCTCTCTGGCAAACAACTATCCAAGAGACACAAAAAGATCAAGAAACTCTCTCGCAAGCAACAAGTCACCATCACCAAGGAGCACAGATGGTATCTTGTAAGTTTTTTTTATTTAAATAATTCATAATGAAATGTGTAATAAAATTTTAAAAAATTTTACACATTTATTTCCTAATATTTCTCTATATTTTCAAGTGGGCTAATTTTCCCTGTGTTACAGGTGAAAGTTTTTGATGACCCACTGCCAACCAGAGAGTTTTTGAAGGAGAGCTTCAAGACTCTAGTGGACACTGAGTTCGTGATACAGGGCTACCACCATGCAACCTCCTCTGCTCGCTTCTTCCTCGAGGATAGCTCGTGTGCTGCAATGGCCATCAAAGGCCTCAACAAGCGCATGCAGGGCAGCTCTGGACGTCTCATGCAGATACAAGTGGAGCCTTGCTCCTCTTTTATTATTCTCAATGCTCAGCAGATGCTCACTGTCAAAGAGGTCAGGAACCACTAATATTCCAATGAATACCACATTCTGTATTTAGGGTTATTGCTAGTTTACTGATTTACTATTAAATGGGTGATATAAGGCTTTAGTGTTTTCTCTTAGTTAAAGTTAGCTAATAAGCAAAAAAGTTAGTGTGTGCCAGTAATTAATTCGTTTTTTGCATTGAACTGGGCTGTTTGGGTTGAATCTAAATAGTTTGATATTGTCAAATGCTATTTAAGATAAATGTAAAAAATTTCAGTTTTGCTACAGTTCTCATAATTATGAATCATCAGTCATTTCCCATTTTTACAACACTTCTCTTTAACTTCACTTCTTGTTTGTCTGTCTGTCTGTCTGTCTTTCTGTCTGTCTGTCTGCTACAAATCTTGTAATCGAAATTTAATTTACTTCTACTTATCCTATCGATCTGAAATTTTGCACACTTGTGTAAAGTTGGAGACAATGCATGAATCAAATGTCAAAATAAAAGATTTTAAAATTAAAAAAAATTTTTTTTTTTCAATATGAAAAAAATTTGAAAAAATAATTTTGTCAGCTACAAATCTTATAACTGAAATCTGACATACTTTTACCTGTCTGATTGATATGAAATTTTGCACACTTGTGTGAAGTCAGAGGCAATGCCTGAATCAATTAATAGAATAAATAATTTTGAAAAAAATTATATATTAAAAAAAATTGAAAAACTAATTTTTTAATTTGAAAATTAAATGAGAAATTCATAGTACATTTGTAAGATTAGAGACACTGGATTCTTTGGAAGTGTTGTCTTTAAAAAGTAATTTTTAAACGCATATTATTACACTTGACTCGGCTTAAGGGGACCGGCTACCCTACGGAAAAACTTCTACAGTTATTATCCGATCATCGTGAAACTTCACATTCATACGTAAAATGTAAAAAAATAGCATTTTGCCCTTATGAATTTTTCGAAAAAATTGATAGAAAACGTGATATTCATAGAAAACGGACAAAAACGGGTACTATAGAAAATCTATCTCCTCCTACAAATATCGTCCTACAACATCCAGACACATATCATTCGATTTGTAAAGACCATATCTATCGACCTGGCATCACTTTTTTTCATTTTCCCCATATTTTCTTTTTTATTTGCGTTTTTCCCATTTCTTCACTTTTTTCACCCCCTCCCCCCCTTCTCCCCAAAATATAAGACGAACCATGCACAAATTGAAAAAAAAAAACGATGGCTAGGTCGATAGATATAGTCTTTACGAATCAAATGATATGTCTCTCATTGCTGTAGCTTGAAAACTGTAGGAGGAGATAGGTTTTCAAAAAGACAAAAAATTAAAATATAAATTGTTCAGGGGAGCCATATAAAGTAAAATTAATTGAAAACAGAAGAATATGCCCCAAAAAGTCTTGATATTGTAGCCCAAGCTTTCCCATTGCCAATTATTTGCATTCAAGGTACCAGCCAGCGTCTTTAGACCTATTTATGTCAAATTTAACGTGAATAATAAGCTATAAATTGAAGTTTTTATATATAAATATATATATATGAAATATTCATTTTACATAACGTTACAACTGCATTAAGCAAAAACTATTGCATGTACATCAATGGTACGTAGTAGCTTTGTTGAACGCGTCTTGTTTGTAGCTTTCAAACGAGTGCAAACACTTTGCAATTAACCTAAATAATGACACATAAATACCATTTATTAGTAAATAATGTTATAAAATGATCATTTTATAAAAGTTTAAGACTGCATTACACAAAAAAGTATTGCATGTACATCTATGGTAGTAGTAGCTTTGTTGAACGCGTCTCGTTTGTAGCTTTCAAACGAGTGCAAACACTTTGTAATTAACGTGAGTAATGATCTATATATACAGATTTAATTCAAATAAATCTTTGTACATATTGTTAAAAAATGTTTATTTTATTTATTTTTAAAATTGTCTTTCGCAAAAACTATAGCACGCACAGACATGCGGTAAACTGCGTTCGACGCGCCTTTTCAGCAGCTACAAAATGAGTCAAGAAAACGGTAAAGCCAAAGTTTCCGATTTTTAGGGTAGCCGGTCCCCTTAATTGTTAAATTATTCTGCTTCTCTGTCCCTCTTCCTAAACGTAACTTCTTCAATGTTTAAAATATTCTCTTACAGTTCCAGGACAAAATTGAATATTTAAAAATAAAAGTCAAAGATTTATCAGATGGCCCACTTCATAGTATATCACTTATACGGTATATTAAAATGAATAATGTGTATTATAAATTTCCAGGTCTTGATGAAGCGCTATGACCCGACACGCAATTTCCTTGACCTATCGTCATTCCACCTGGACCCAATGCTGGTGAACGAAGGCGTAATGCCAGTGCTTTCCGACCCTGCAATTTTTCGACAAGTGTTGGTGGTGGTCCGTGATAACATCCCCGGTCTGACAACGATGTCTCTTGGCAACAACAGACTTCGTCTCACCAACATTCGGGTTGTAAAGGGTACTCTTGGCAACAGGTGTCCTCTACAGCGGCTTAATCTAGAGTCCAATGACATAGATAATTTCAAAGAACTCATCTGCACACTTGCTGTTTTCAAACTCCAAGAGCTAAAACTAGATGGCAACCCTTGTCTGAAAGACATAAAGAATCCTGATATTTATATACGCACTGTTCTCTCGCAACTACCACAACTGAAAACTCTAGATGGACAAGACATTGCAAGTCACATATCTGGGCAAACGAGCTCTGGAGATATGATATCATCGCTGAACACAAGCCTGGCATCAACCAGCTTAGTGAGCGCCGACCCTCCTCCTGTCCCTGTCAACGAGCCTCTTGTTCAGAAGTTCCTCTCGGAATATTACAACTGCATTGACAGTGACCACAGAGAACAACTTGTGAACGCTTACCTACCCACTGCAAAGTTTGGTATAGAATCACATATTGCTGCTGTACCGTCCGGGACATGCGAGGGCTCGCACCACATCTTAGAAGCCCTCAAGAGAATGCCTGCTTTTAAACATGCCAAGGAAACGTTCTCCATGAAAGTACACAAGCTCATGAACGATCTTGCAGAAATCGAAGTGTCTGGCCAACTGCAGGTCGCGGGTCATCCTGACGCGGTCTCTTTCGTGCACACCCTGACGGTGGTGCCGTACAATGCTGGGCTCGGCATCACTCTAGGCATCATGGGCTTCAAGTAAACAATATAATTCTATCCAAAATGCAGTAAAAATTTATTTCCATTCAATTTTCATTTCATGCTTGCTGCAAGACAAAAATAATTTGTGCAAATTTATAAGTAACTACTGGAGTCGATACATATTTTAAATGAAGTAACTAATTAAAATTTTTTTTTTCAAGTAAACAAATTGTTCAAACATTTTGAGAACTGCCTGATATGCAGTTTGATTTTGAGAATCAAATTGATTTATGATCCTGCTATTTGGAAACCTTTTCAAAACTTTTTCCTCTGACAATAAATATACTAAAATTTCCAAGATGGGCTTGAATTGACTTTTTTTCCTCCTTCACCCTTTGGCGTGCGTTTCTTTACGACGTATGGGGAACCGGTTTTCAAGAACTTTTTGTTGAGCTGGACTTATAGTCTCAAGAAATAAGGGACGCATGGAAATTAGGAAATAGAGCAAACTTTAATACGGTATTCTAAAAACCTGTTGCCGCATTAGGCATTAATGCTTGACCAAATTGCTGATCCGTGTACAGCTCATTAGTCAATACTATCAAGCATTAGTCTAGTTTAGCATTAAAATTGCAGTTTTCAACTTAATCTTTCTTTTAGGCTCAGTGGAGTGTCTCCAGGAAAAAGATTTGGTTCGTCGAGTTTTCTTCAGACCTGTGGTGTGCAGACTAGACGTGGGTGTTCACCTAATGTCTTAGTCATCGACAACTTGCGGTTGCGGAAGCTGCTGCTACCTAAACTAATCGCTCATGACCCGGATTCATGGACGAAAAAGGTCGCTTTTTTCTCTCTGATCATAGGATATTTGTTATTTTCTTATTTTCAGACCATATTCTTTACATAATAGCCGTTCAGACATAATCAAGCGATTTTGTTTGCCAAAGGTTGTTTTGCGAGTAGTAACGAAGCAACGGCCGTTTTGTTTTCATTTTTCTAACTTGGCGTACTTTAATAAGTCGCAAATGGTCAAAGTAAATTGCCCTCACAGCGCTCTCTGACACAATCAAATGTGATGATTTTTTTTGTGCTAATCTAGACTGGTTGTTTTCCTGTAAAAACGACGAGAAATTTGAATCTAGTTACTGAATACATTTGAACAAATTATGACCTTGGGACGGAGAATTTTTGGGCGGTATCAAAATTGTAAAGATACATGAGCGAAATAGCAGGCTATTATTGCTTATGTGAGCAGAAAAAGATCAGAATATTGAAGATATTCACTATTGTTGGCTTCTCTTGGCTATGAGCATTGAGCAGCCGGCTCCCACGAAATGATAGCTTTAGACTCAAGCGTTTGGTATTTTTTTTTTTGTATCCGAGACGAGACAACAGGCTCTGCCCCGGTTCGCATTAAAAACCGGGACAATTTTCAGCCGTCCGTAAGAATTCCGGGACGATACCCAGACGAGACATCCCGGTTAAAATAGGTATCTTAACATTTCCCGGAATTTATAGCCATTTTAACGGGACGAATCAATTATTGATGTGGTGTAAACTTTGGCTTGCCATCATACATGTATGCAGAGCTGGGCAGCACTACTTTGAAATGTAGCGGCCGCTACCGCTACATACTCTAAATGCAGCGGGCGCTTCCGCTACAATTGCTTAAATGTAGCGCCGCTACCGAAAATGTAGCGGTCGCTACATGTAGAGCGCAGAGGTGGGCAGTAGCGCGCTATATTTTCAGTAGCGGTAGCGGCACTACATTTAAGGCAATGTAGCGGTAGCGCCCGCTACATATTTAAGTAGCGATACGAGGTTTTTCCGCTACAGCGCTACCGCTACATTTATAGATAAAGCCTTTATATTTTACCTAATAGTATTAAATTTTATTTAAAAACCAGCATGATACATAAATAATATAAATTACAGAATGAAACTGTACGAAAGATTTCGGTGTAATGTTGTCAACCTCAGCCTGTTACTAGTGTCAACATGTTAGTTGTTACTTGATAAGTTGTTACCAGTTACCACTGAAGGCCGGTCTACACGCTCAGTTTTACACAACGATTTGTCTGCGCAGTTCTAATCTTTGCAGTTAAAACGTTGCGTGTGGACGGGAAAACTGCGCAGTTTTGAAGCCGCCGGGAAAACTGCGCAGTTGCATCGAAATCTGAGCTACAGAGCATAGATTTCGATGAACTGCGCAGATAAGTCGGAACGTGTAGACGGTAGCAGTTTTCCGATTCGATCTGTGCTCCGTTTCAATGATTCTGGCGACAATGGCGGAACTTCGGTAATGTTCTCGGGAATTTATTGCTCTTCTATACGAGAGTTTTTCTTGCATTTGGCGAGTAAAATTCAAGGACTATAGTAACAGGGACAAAAAAGGTGGAGACATACAAGGGCTTAGTTGAAAAATGTAAAGAAATCGATGAAAACGCAAACAGAGAAACAGCTGTAAAACAAGTTGAGGAGCATTTACCATATATAATTGGGAATAAATAAAAAATCGATTCCATCTGGACCTGGTGAAGAATACACCTACAAGCCATCTCTCTTGTATTTTGATATAATAATAGCGGTTTCAGCGTAATTAGGCCGTAGGCCTGTCGCCGATTCTTAACATAACATAACATCGTGATGTCGGCTCTGAAGTGTAGGCCTGATGTGGCCGGTCGCCGATTCTTTTCCATTTCGTGCCTTGTTCATAGATCTAAACTCGTGTCATTTGACCGGATCTTTTCATGACTGGCGATAGTTTGAAGAAGCTACTAGACTTCCACCTGGTTCGATAAGGAGCTAGGTATTTCAAATCTGAACATATATTTTTCCATAGCTTTATCTAGTCTGTTCTTGAACGCGTTCATACTTGGAGCGCCAACGATGTCATCGGGAAGGCTGTTCCACATGTCGGTGATTCGAAGCGAGAAGAAATTTTGTCGCGTGGAGAAGTTGCAGCGCAATTTTTTTAGCTTATAGCCGTGGCTCCTGGTGTTGGTTCTTGTTTCCAATTCTAGTAACCCTTCAGGGACCTTGTATAGACCATGAGTATACTTGTATACTTCAATGAGGTCCCCACGCAGACGTCGATAACTGAGGCTTGGAAGCTTCATAATCTTCAATCTTTCTTCATAGGACTTGCCCTTCAAGCCTGGAATTATCCTTGTTGCACGTCTCTGAACATTCTCTATTAAATTTCTGTCCTTTTCGAATCTCGGTGACCACACAACGTTTCCAAACTCTAGACTCGGGCGTACGACGGCAACAAACAACTGCTTCATCGTTTCTGCATCTAGGAACTCGTATGAGCGTCTGATTAGTCCAAGAAGTTTGTTGGATGTGTTAGCTTGCGTTTCAACATGCTTAGAAAATTTCAGCAACATAGCAGAACATTCACAGCATTTTGCGGTCTCGAACTCGCAACTCACTGCTACAATTCTGCTATGCTTAACCGCCCGGCCTCCTTGCCGATTCTGACCAGAAACTGGCGCACAGAGCTGGGATCGAACCCGCGCCTCTCTGCTCCAATCTTGGTACTCTGAACTTTAACCACTGGGCCACCCTGCCCACGCATTCCCCATCTCGCATTCCCCTAATGATCCAATTTCTTTTCCCCTAATGATCCAAGGCACAATGCCAAAAATGTATCAAAATACTGCCTTTACCATGGCACGTCTCGGACAAATTTACGGCCGGATTCGCGGCCGGTCTCCCCAAATTCAATGAGCATGGAATATCTCCCAAAGTAATGAACGTAGCTCTATAAAACTCGGTACACGTATTCATTAGGACTTAAAGGTGATGTTTTCGATTTTGCCTTCGTCTGAGAGTTATATGGCTTTATCTAATCTAAAAAATTGTCACGAGCTAAACATCACCGTTGGGAGGTTAGGTTTATATATTCAAAGTTTCGTTCAAATCTGTACAGTAGTTAAGAAGAAATGTCCTGCTCACTGCAAATTTCGGCACGTATCGTCATATAACTCACGAATGAAGGTGAAATTCTAAAAATGTTCACGAGCTAAACATCACCGTTAAGTCCTAATGAATACGTGTACCAAGTTTTATCGAGCTAAGTTCATTATATACTTTGGGAGATATTCCATGCTCATCGAATTTGGGGAGACCGGCCGCGAATCCGGCCGTAAATTTGTCCGAGACGTGCCATGGCGAGATCGCGCAAAACTGAGCAAACTACTCAGTTAGTCGGCACCGTGTGGGCGCTCTGAAAATTGCAACGATTTCATTCCGACTTAGAACTGAGCAGACAAATCGTTGTGAAAACTGAGCGTGTGTACCGGCCTTTACAGGTATTTTTTCACGTTTCAGTTTGCTTACAGTTATTTTTACACACTTATTTTTATGTTTCACCTTCCCTACATGGATGTCTACTTTAATCTACCAATCTCAAAAATAATCCACATATATATACAAATAAAAGACTGAATTTTTATATGCATATGTGGATAATTTTGTAGATTGGTAGATTAAAGTACACATCCATGAAGGGAAGGCAAAACATAAAAATAACTGTAACTTTTATTTACTGTGTCTAACCTGTACTAGTTCGGTTAGGACGTTAGGTTAATTGCAATAAAGTTGCATTGATATGTTTTGAAAATGTTTTATTATCATTAAATGTTTATGAGTAAATCCCAATAGCAGGACAATAAATATTTAGAGATTTCCAATAATTTTGGCCCTTGTAGCGGCTAATGTAGCGGCGCTACATTTTACTGTAGCGGTAACGGTAGCGCTCGCTACAATCTAGTGGGTGTAGCGGTAGCGATAGCGCCGCTACATTTCAATGTAGCGCTCTAGTAACAGGCCGAGGTTGACAACATTACACCCAGAGGTGGGCAGTAGCGCGCTACATGTAGCGGCCGCTACATTTTCAGTAGCGGTAGCGGTGCTACATTTAAGTAATTTTAGCGGTAGCAGCAGCGCCCGCTACATATTTAAGTAGCGATACGAGGTTTTGCCGCTACAGCGCTACCGCTACATTTATAGATAAACCTTTAGATTTTACTTAATAGTATTAAATATTATTTGAAAACCAGCATGATTCATACATAATATAAATTACAGAATAAACTGTACGAAAGATTTCGGTGTAATGTTGTCATCCTCAGCCTGTTACTAGTGTCAACCTGTTAGTTGTTACCAGAGGTGGGCAGTAGCGCGCTACATGTAGCGGTAGCGGTAGCGGCGCTACATTTCAAAGTAGCCCTACCCAGCTCTGACTATATACCTTAGGCATCTACTTCTCTATGTTTATGAACATCAAGAACATTGGACGGTAGCTGCGGGTGTGGGGTTGAACGAAATTAACGAAGACTCACGAAGAAAGACTTG